CTGAATTATTTATTTTTATAAATACCGTTACACCCACTTTCTCTACAATATATAAATAGTTTTAAATGTAGCATATTTATTTTACATTGACATCGCACAAAACCCATTTCGGACTGGAAGACAGGACAATGCCTTTTCTAAATGGCTGTGATGTCTCACACTAAAATAAAACAGGACACGGAAAGTTTTTTCTGCTAATAATATTACAAGTTCGCATGTAGGAATTCCTCGTCATGTACCCTTCATGAAATAACTCATGAGGAATATTTTCCATGTTTGAAACTATGAATACTAACAGTTTTGCAATCAGCTTCATATTTCATTTTTTCGTTGTCGCTATTGAAAGACAGTATTTTCGTCTAAAATATCATATCAACAAATTGAACAACTACAGCTTTATCTGACTTTATCTGTCCAAGTGCGGTTTTCATGGTTTTGATGAGTTCAGACAAAAACATTAGGCCCTAGACAATCTTCTTGTCAATGTTTCTGCGACTATTCAAGTAAAACGGAGAAAGTTTTTTAATTACATTTGAATGAAAAACTTACCAAACGAGATAATTGTAGGAATAGCTGATCATGATTTGATGTGTTTCAACAAGAGGTGAATAGCCGTCAAGAACCGTAAGGGATTACTGTGAAAGACGATTATAACGTCTAAGTAGCTTCTGGAACTGCGACAAGTGGCAGGTGTGAGCTCATTACTTGAAGTTTGTTTTCTTCCATCATTACTGAAGTAAAGGTCTTTGTTTTTCAATTAGGGTTATGCACTTCGGGGGTCTTTGCTACTAGTTATTCAGTATGTTTTTAGATGGTGAAAGATAGTATTAATGACTTTGGAGTGATTGAAAGGCACGCATAGTCGCATAGCACGCATAGTCTGTTTATCACAGAAATGGTTTGTTATCTTTATTCAAGGCCTTAATGTGTGTTTTTGAAGATTGTGATTCGGAAGAAAAAAGTATTTGAGAACAATGCCTTATTAAGGGCCGGTACGGTAGAAGTATAATTGGGAATAATAAAAACATGCAAAGTTGTAACTTTTTTTTAAACTTTTTCCTCTTTTGACTTAACAATTTGCAATATGTTTATTTTATTTGGATAAAGATTATTATCATTATTATATTTTGGGAATGGTAAAATTTTTACAAGATAATCTAGTAGATAACTCAGAACCTCCGCTGGCGCAACGTGACGTGATGAATTGGAACAAAACGCGAAGGAGTATGATAACAAGAACTTACAACTTTTTGTTTTTGTAAATCGTTTGGAATCAGTGATATAATTACTTATCTCATTTTAGGAAAACTT